TGGAGATGCTGGAGAGGGTGGGAGCCAGCAGGAAGAGACCCCACTGCCAGCCCATCTGGGCCCTGCGTCCTCCACCAGCCCCGCTCCCGTGTGCCCGGCGGGCAGGTATGGGGGAGCAACCCGCCTGGCACAACCCCCAGTTCCCGGAGGGAGGGGGAGAACCAAGGCGGGGACATGCCCACCCCACCAGTCACATCTCTCTCGGTGTCTCTCCTCTCTGCCCAGCTTGCTCTAACAGTGGATTGAAGCGCACCGGTGGTGGTGCCGCAGCCAGCGCGACGGAGAGCAGGCAGGCGAGGGACCCCACGGCGGGAAGCTGGCACCATGCTTCAGCCTCCAGGGATGGCCGATAAGTGCAATGAGGGGCTGCTGGTAAGTGCCAGGGCACGGGGAGCGGGCTGGTGTGGGTACCTGCTTGTGGGGACTCGCAGCACCCGGCACAGGGAGCAGGACACCGAGGCTCCTGCAAGGCATGGTGCCCCCCGGGACCCCTGGCTGAGGTTGTGCCACCCTGGTGCCCCCCCAGCGCGATGCCTGTGGGGCAGATGCTGGCCACTGCTCGCCCTGAGCCTTCTGCTTGTGAGGCTCCCCGGGTGCAGTGTCTCGCTGTGCTGGGAGATGCTATCACCCGTCTCAGGCGCTCAGCCGGCGTTATCGCCCACCCCAGCTCTCCAGGCAGGCGGTGAAGGCAGGAAAGCCCCCAGCCAGGCGGCTCCTCCACCTATTCTCAGTAAAGGGCGGAGGTGCCCCTCTGTGCTGGGTGCCCCCAGAGGGCACGGTGTGGAGCTGCTTCCCCTCTGCCTCCACCTGGCAGGCTCTCCTGGACTGGGCTGGTCGGATGGCGTGCAGGCAGAGCTGGGTGTTTCCAGGCACCGGAGCGGTGCCCAACCCTCCGTCCTTGCAAGCGGTGTGTTGTGGGGTGCTGCGTGCTGCCCTGCGCCAGGGAGGGCCGCGGGACATGCGGGACATGCCTGGCACGTGTCCTCCTTGGAGGGCTGCAATGGCCCCACGCTTGTGGCAGCTTTGCCATGCAATGAGCAGTTTGGGAGCCCTGAGCTCAGCTTCCCGTGCCAGGCTGCTGTGCTGCGCCTGGAAGGTGAGCCTGGGCTGGGCTTGGCTCTTCCCTTTTTCCCCGATGGATGGGAGCTGAACACTGGGGCCAACACGGTTGCCGGGCCCTCCCCTTCCCAGGGGGCTTCCTGAAATAGCTGCATGCTCCAGCCAGAGGGCCTGGAGCCAGGACTTCCGTGGGAAGCTGAGAGCCAGGGGAGCAGCGTGCCCAGCAGGCGCTTCCAGCGCGCTCGCGTGTGCGCGGCTCCTCTGCCTGCGTGGCCCCGCGGGCTGTGCCTGCAGCGGGGAGCCCAGCACCCATCCTGCCCGCGGGGGCCAGCGTGGCAGGGTCAGGGCAGACGGTGGGATGGGAAGGCAGGTTTCTCCAGGAGAAGCCCTTGGCTGGGAACAGGGACGTATCCAGGCTAGATCAGGGGTCTGTCATGGGGACGTGCTCCTGCATTTGTGGGTCACTCGCCGTGGCTCCAGGTTGCTGCTGCATCCTTGCGCTGGCTGGAGCAGCCGGCATCGCACCGGGGCGAGGGCCGAGCCTGGCACGTGCGGCAGGGATCCAGGCATGGGAGCGCGCACCTGGTCTCGGTCAATCTTTAACTCACTTCTTGGCAGTACCTGACCAGCCCATGCTGGGGCCAGAGTCTGCGGAGAGGTGGGATGGGTGAGGGACCCACGGGGTCTGGCACGCGCTGTGCTGGCCACCCTGGCTTCCAGCCCTCTGCCCGGGGCTCCCCTGTTTGTGGGGCTGAGAGGACACCCGTGCACGGGGCACAGGGGTGCTGGTGCAGGGACTGCGGGAGGAAGGCAGGTCCCCAAGAGAGCATCCCTGCTCCCAGAACATCCCTACACTGCACCAGCTGCGAGAGCCTCGAGAGGAGCTGTGGTGGGACAGGCGCTGGCTGCTGGGCTGCCTGGGGCACTGGGGAAGGGAGCTGATCTCCCTGGCTTGCCTCCAGGGCCCTGCCAGTCGCCTGGTAAAGCGTTGTCCCTGCCTGTCCTCTCATGCCTGCCTGCGGGTGTAGATCCTGCCCCCCCCCAGCCCGGCTGGGGTCCCACAGCGCAGCCTCTGTCCAGGGGGTGTGTGTATGTGCAGTTCCAGGACTGGCTGGGTGTGCAGTGGGGTTTGGGGTGCCTGCTGTGCCTGGCCTGGGGAGGGACAGGGGTGATGGAGGCAGCAGCTGGGTGATATGCAGCCGTGCCTCAGTTTCCCCACCTGTGAGCTAGGGCCTGTGCCCTCCCGTCAGTGACGGAGTGACGAGGGTGCCCTGTCCTGCTGTTGCAGGCTCTGCATGTTGTGGATGCCCCTGGGAAGCTCTGCATGCTCACTCCAAAATCGCAGGCAGGAGGGCAGGCAGTGTCCCCACACCCCTCCTAAACCCTGCAGGGGCCATGGTGGCAGGTGCCCAATGGGGCACTGGGCTGCAGGGCAGCTCCAGGGGCTGGATCAGTCCCCATGTGGCCAGGCAGGGGGATCCCCATGGGGCCACAGGGAAACAGGGAGGGGCTGACAGCCTCTCCCTCCCCGGCCTTTAAGGACATTTTGTTTTGTCCTCCTCAGGACGTTTTGTTCAGGCTCCAGCAGTGCCAG